AAGTATAATCCATGATTGTTTTTGTAATGCTTAAAGAATTGCAGTCTCATTTGCAAAGTGTCAACATTACTGACAAGATTTGGTTTTTAGTTTAACATCTAAATTTTTTAAAAATTTCCACTGGAAAGGTAAAATTGGATGTGATGAGAAAAAGAAGATTTCTTCCTCAATTTTCATTTTTCAGACAAAATAGAGATTTAAACAGTTATCTGTAAGCATTTATCTTTGTAGATTAAAAAAAACATACTGTGAAAGTTTTCAATATGTTGATTATCAGTTTATTTAAGAGTGACTCAAAAGAAAGCATGTAAGATTTGAGAATGTTGTTGCTGATAAAATTGCACTGTGTCTTTTAGCGAAACATTTTTTCCTGACCCTTGAATGTCTTTTATAACATGTGCCAAGAATTCATCATAGCAGCAGACAACACACCCAAAATATTGAGCTATGGTTTATAGTCTCCTCCTTCCTCGTCATTTTTTCCCTGAAAGCTGAGTTTATTTTCTTTTAACTGCCAACTCCATTTCTCTGGTTTCACATCTTGGAAGAAATGACACAATCCCTTGAACTGCTGCACCCAGCCTCCAGGAAGAAGTGAATTGAGATTAGGTCTTCTTTTGCATTTTCCTGCACAGCAAGTTCATTCTTCTGCCTGTTTGCAAAATGAACTATTTTGCAAGGCTTCTAACCTTGTCATAGGAGGAAGTTCCTTCTACCCAGCTTTAATAATGCAGCATCAACAACTCACACTATTGCTAATAGTCCCCCACAGCATTTTCATCAGTCATGCAAGCTGCAAATAGCAGGGTAGAGAGGGAGGAGTTTGGAGCATAAGTTTTCCTGAGTTGAGACTTGCCCACTGGCTCCCTCAAGTACACTTTCTTCCTTTGAATGTGTGTAGTCACAGAGAGAACTTAAGCGTCTGTGGCATTCTAAGGAAAAACAAAGAATCGCATTAACAAATGTCTCTTTTTGTTACTGCCATTTCATAAATGTATTAGTAGGTGTGCAATTTCATTGGATATTTCTTTTTTTTTTTCAATTGTCTTTGTACCTATGATTGAAAACGGTAGTTGGTCTATGACTTTTGAGGAGGTAAGTTTTAATCTGTGTATGTCTGTATCTGTGTCTGTCTCTGAAAAAAAAAATGCAGTATCCTCCTCCCAAAAGTTACTAACCAAACTTTCCTGGCTGTCCAGTTCCTGTGCAGGGGGTAGGGGAGGGTGACTGGTAAGGAAAGGTGTGATATATATTTTGTTCAAGCGATGTGAGAAGGTAGGTTTCAGACAGCATGGTAGGAGTTTTCAGGCTTATGTTACCAGTGCCTCTATAATCTTTTTGGAAAAGAAAGGGAAATAGTCTTCCTGTTTTATTTACAGGCTCTGATCTTTCGGCACCCTTGTTTTCTGTAAAAATCTCTGCTGACTGAGGTTATACCAATGGGTGTACCTTGCCAACCTTTCAAAATGAGCCAAGCAAGGTGACTTCCTTCTCCTAGCCCATCACACCTAACTCTATTCTCTAGTGGGAAGGCAAACTTTTTCTTAAATTACTTCTGAAAATAGTGTTGGCTCCTTGGGAAAGACAGCTAAGTTGTAATCTCCATTATCCCTGGGTCTGTATGGACAAGTTCTGTGTAGAAAACCCCATCTCAGAACCTGTAGCACCCAAGAGCATTCAATGTACTGGAGGGATACCTCCCCACTCAGACTTATACTTTGGAGGACGATACTGCATTTTTGGCCCTGTAACTTGCTTTCCCTTGTCTGTGAGTTCAGGGTGGAGTCTGATACTTCCCACTGGGCTGCTTGCTTTGCAGACACCAAACTGAAGCTGCTAGCTAAAGCAAAAGCTGCTTGCCCCTGTCAGTCTGCTTTTTAAGGACCCTCAGACACTTAATTTCTCCCACCTGCACTCCAACCCCTGTGCATCAGGGAGGAAGGGTTCAGGTTGTGGCAGTCGTTGTAAGGAGAGGTCATAGTGTATACACTCACATTTTGCTTCTGTAATATACAGTCCATCAGGCTCTTGTTACTGATGAAACCACTGCGTAGGTAGGCTTTTCAGTACTTGCTTCAGGTACTTTCCCACAAACATCATATGGCTTCACCTGGAGGTTAACTCAATTCGAAGCCTATAACTAACCTGAAAAACTGGTAGCTACTTCTTTTTTTTTTTTTTCAGTCATCAGCCCTGAACTCTGGGCCTGGGCCCTATCCTTCAGCTCTTCAGCTCAAGGCTAGCGCTCTACCACTTGAGCCACAGCGCCACTTCCAGCTTTTTCTGCTTATGTGGTGCTGAGGAATCGAACCCAGGGCCTCATGTATGCAAGGCAAGCACTCTACCACTGAGCTACCTTCCCTGGTAGCTATTTCATTTGCGCCAAATTAACATAATGTAAATAATAGTTGAGGAAGCATTTTGTACCTTGGAGTTCTGGGAATACATTTTCAGAGAAGCAAGACACTTAACTCTGGAACTGGTATTGAAGTAATCTTATCTTGGTCTCTTGAAGAGCTTTATCAAGAAATGAGAAAAATCTCTTCCCCACCCTAGCAGTCTGCATTGTGAAATAATGTTGAAGTTGTGCTGCGTAATTCTCCTTTTTCCTGACAAGAAGAAATTTTATTGAAAAAGTTTCTAGAAAAAGCTTCACTCTAGAGCTTTTAAATTTCCTGCAAGTACATAAGTTGTTCAAAAATTCTCTAGATCCCACTAAAAATCCATTTCTTTGGCAAAGAGGGAAAAGATAGACTGTTGCATTCCTATTTTCTAATGTATCATTTTTCATACTTGTATAGCAGAGTAGAACTTGTGTAGGTTGAAGAAACTGAATCCAGTGAGTCTTAAGTTGCTCCCACAAATTTGTACATTCTTTTTCCAGATGGGCTGGAAACTGGATTCCTGACAGGACAGATTTTTTTTTTTTTAATCCAAGTAAACAGTACGTTTATGTAAAAGTCTAAGGAAAGACGTGAAAGAGAGTGGCCAGATCTCCATCACTACAGGGGTCCTAAAGAGGAGCCCACTAGAGTGCTTGCTGGGAGAATTGCTGTAAGGACAGCAATTTTGTGACTTGGTCACAAGGGAAAGTCAGGATGATTGGTTTGACCAGGACCTAATAGGAAGAGGCATCTTTTGCTCATGTTAACATTTTATGCTTCCTACTGTACTTAAAATCTTAAATTGCCTTTTTTTTAAAAAACAAAATTAAAAAAAATCATGTCACAAACGTATTTCTGTGGAAAACATGTATGCATTAAAAAAGAACAATACTAAAGACAATCTACTATTCACAGTATCTGTTTATATGTTATAAAAGGACTTACCAGTTTTTTTTCCTAGAAGATGTCATATTCCCTCTTATTTATTTTCTGTGATATTTTAGCAGTGTATTGGATTTTACTGCATATATATATATATATATATATTTAATATTGAAATGATTTGGAGTGTGTGTGTGTGTGTGTGTGTGTGTGTGAAACCAGGGTTTGAACTCAGGAATTCCCACTTGCTGAGTAGGCCACACCCCAGTGTTTCTACCATTTTTTTAGTAGACATCTTTCATTTACATTCCCATACTTTTCTGAACTATTTTTTTCCAAAAGAAAAGGCAGAGTCAAAATATAAGTTCATCCTTGAAGTCCTATGTTGGCCTTTCCTGGTTGTGGATCCTTGGCCTCCAAGAAAGTCTCAGGCTTTGCCCTTCCCATCTGTTTTCTGGACCTTTTTATTAAAAGCAAAGGCAAAAAGAGATATTTGATCCTCCTTTCTTGGTAGTTCTATAGAAGATAAAATTAACTTTGCCCCACCTAGTAGGTGTGAAACATGTATTTGTCTTGTCTTTTATCGGCTCTGTCTGGTTTTGCCACCTTTGCAGAGTGTAGAAGTAGGAGTGTAAATCTAAAAGCCGGAAGGTCTTCTCATTGAAGTTTTTCCTTGTCAGCTCTTTTCAATCCTAGTAACTACTGGTAGTAGCAAAGAAAGCACTTTTGATATTTTCGTAGAGAAGATACTAAATTACTATTCTGAAAGTAGATATAAGCATACTAATTTCATCATGTCTAAAGAATATACCTTGCTCCATGTATTAATCATTTGGTTCTTTTTTTTTTTTTTTGCCAGTACTGTTTGGATTCTGGACCTTGCTCTCTCCCTTAGCTTTTTTTCTCAAGGCCAGTACACTACAATTTAAGCCACTCCTCCATTTCTGGCTTCTTGCTGGTTAATTGGAGATAAGCATCTCTTGAGTAGCTAGGTTTGCAAGTCTAGCTACTGGTACTGGGCTCATCTAATAACTTTGTTTCATATTGTTCCTGGGAGTTTCCTGGAGGGAGGGTGTAGTTTGGTAATTTATTTTCCAAAATTCTTTTAATCTGACACTTGAACAAAATGAAACAAACCTTTAGAAATTTATTATAGGAACTATTGTTTTAAACAACACAAAAATAGATGTTCAGAAAAGTAAATATATTCTTATTCAAGGACTAAAAATTTACCAGCTAATAGCAGAGTGGTAAACCCCTGTATTTTGATTCTGGATTTAACGTTCTTCAATATTCTTTATAATTTTGAATCCTGATATTGACAAAACAGTCTGAAGAAATGTCTGCTGTCATCCCTGCTCTGTCTTAAGGTTACTCTTGAAGTCAGAGGTGGAGCCACAAGGATTGAGAGTACATTTGGAAATTTGCTGTCTGTGGTACATTTTTTTCTAATGAAGTTCTGTCTGGGGGGCGGGGAGGGGGGGTCCTAGGCGTCAACTGTTAGCTTCACTGGATAGAGTGCCGCAATTGTCCTGCATCTGCACTGCTAGCCAAACTCACTGTTGTTTCCCAGACAGCAGCAACCTGCCTTCCTGTGCCACTCGCCTTCGCCTTGTTACACTTTGAAAGTTCACCTTGTTGTTGCTGCTTGATTTTCCTCACCAGTACTTTGTTCATTTCTGCTCCTGTATGCTGACACTAATGCTGCCCTCTGGCTGTTGCTTTATTCTGCAGAAGGAGAATCGAAGATTACAGGAGGCCAGCATGAGGCTGGAACAAGAGAATGATGACCTCGCTCACGAGCTGGTAACCAGCAAAATTGCTCTGCGGAATGACTTAGATCAGGTAAATTTGTCATCCTCCACACAGAAATGAGACTATGACAACTTCCTCAAGGGCAAGGACTGTGTTGTTCCCTGCATTCCCCACAGGCGCTGCCTGTTAGATAAATGGGTTGCAAGAGGATGGCTTGTGCCATTTGAAGAGGGTGGAAAATGCAAGCCTGTGACATGCTTGGATCATTTACAAGCAGCATTTGTGACATACATTTTTCATATCTCTGAACTTCTCTGGTCCCCTTCTTTTTATCAGTACTTTTCTAGACCAAGAGCTACCAGCATGCTTACCTAAGAATATTAGTCACCACAAATAGCCACTCTGACATTTATAGAAACCTACTTTTTCATTCCAGTAAGGATTCTCATCTAAGCCAAGTGTGGTGGTCCAGGCTTATAATCCTAATTCTTTGGTAGCTGGAGACAGGCCATTGCTGGCAATTAGCAGAGACCCTATCTGAAAAACAAGCTAAAAGCAAAATGGCTGATTGTGTAGCTCAAGTGGTGCTAAGAAAACACAAGACCCTGAGTACAATCCCTTGTGCCACAAAAATAAATTAATAATCATTGTCATGTATAATAAATGTGAAGCCCTATATGAGACATGTTAAGAATTGAATTGTTGTATTGACAGGCACGTTAGGGACTAAGAAGCAGTCCTATTTGGTATATTGGCATAAAAAGTATTGGTATAAAGTGTCTATCTCATAGGGATTAAGTAAGACTCATGGTAACTTCTCATTACAGTGCTATCAAGAGAAATAGGAGAGACTGGACAGCAGAGCTGGTTTAGATACTTTTTGCAGGGTGTTAGAAAAGAGGCAGTGAGGGCTGGGAAGGTGGCTTAGTGGTAGAGTGCTTGCCTTGCATGCATGAGGCCCTGGGTTCGATTCCTCAGCACCACATAAGCAAAAAAGAAAAAGCCGGAAGTGGCGCTGTGGCTCAAGTGGTAGAGCGCTAGCCTTGAGCTGAAGAGCTGAGGGACAGCACCCAGGCCCAGAGTTCAGACCCCACGACTGGACCCAAAAACAAAAAAAAAAAGAAAAGAGGCAGTGATTTGGTTCTTGAGCAGCTGCTAGGTGGGACTCAGAGCCTGTATTCTGCCATATGAGTGTGAGTCTGGAACCCAAAAGATGAACCGAGCCTGGGGGTGTAAAGTAGGCTGTGTTAACTACATTAAATATACACAAGTGATTTTTCAGTTAATTCTGGTTGTATGTTCAAGTTAAAACCAGAAGATTTTCTCTTGCGTTCTTCCTGGCCATTCTCAAAGCAGTCTTTTCTGCTTGGATTTTTGGTCCAAATTTTAGTTTCCCACCTGCATCTTTATGTCATAGGTTCCTAGTCTTCATTTCTGCTTATTCTATTCACTGACCTGTGTGATCAGCCTTGTGGACCATCTAGTCCTTGAATTTTCCCATCTGTTACCTAGACCAGCTTGTCCACTTGTACTCTTCAAATCCTCCCCAGTTACTACCAGTAAGAAGCGTCTATGAGGCTCCAGCTCTCACCAGATCCACCAACACAGATTAAGTGCAGTTCTGAGAAGTATGAAGAGAATATGGATTTAGATGTCATTCACATCTAAATTCAGATCATGTTTGTGATATTAAATGTGTCAAATAAGACAGCTTATTTGATCTCTCTAAATGTAAAATTATTATTGTTGTCATCAAGATTAGGAATAATGTATACCAAGTACCTAGCACATAGCTGGACAGAAGAAACAACCTCCTCCCCTCCCCACCCCCACTCCTCCCAGTGATCTAGAAGGGAACAGAACTTGCGGTAATTGCAGAGATTCACTTTGGAGAAAGCATACTCACATTTTCATCACCTTCTTTATGGCTATGTTATGTCTTGGCTTTCAGGCAGAAGACAAGGCAGATGTGCTGAATAAAGAGCTCCTCCTGACCAAGCAGAGACTGGTGGAGACTGAGGAGGAGAAGAGAAAGCAAGAGGAAGAGACTGCCCAGGTAGAAGGCACATGTGGGCTTTTCTGTTCACTTATATGTAGATCAGGAGTTGATTAATGCCATAAAACAGGTAACATCAGTTAATTTTGAATGAAGAGACATGCAAAAGCAGTAAATGTTATGTCTTGCCATTACCTTTGCAAGGTGTTAGAAGAGGAAGCAGTGATTGTGCCTGGAAAACTTCTTAGGGATTCACCTTTACTGAGCTATCTAGCAAAAGTGATGAGTTTTCACTAAGTGTAGTAACTTGAAATTATAATCTAGGAGTTTTGACGAATCTTAAAATTTCCTCTAAGATAACTGACTTTTCTGAAGTAGTTTATGAGCCTTGCTAAACTAAAAACCTACATACAGTAAGCAGTCTCTGCCTGTGGGGGTTTACCACATGGCCCCTGCCTCAGGTAGTTAGGCTTAGGTTTCCTGATTCATGCATAGAAGAGAGGGAGGCAGCCTTCCTCTCAGTGCTTACAGACCTGCACCCAGGGGCACACAAAGAAATCCTTTGGGGACCCATGATGCCTTGTACTTTGGTGTGAATTGTGTAGCTAATCAGACTAAACAGACCCTGGCAAAGGAGCAGCCCAGGGAACTTCCTGCCTCAGGAGGTGGGGCTTGTAGCTTCAGTGAGGAAAACCAAGCTGCTTCCCCATTGTTCTTCACGGGGCATCCCACCAGGGTGCTGAGGATTAGACTGTGGCTCCGACAAATGCTTACACGTCTACTGTCAGGAACTTGTTTGAATTTTACTTATAAAATGAGGGGTCGGTAATACTACATGTAAAATGGAATATAAGGCAATTTAAAGACCTTCATCCTAGCAACCAGAAAAAAAGTTCCAGTGAAGTCACACAAAGAGAGATGTGTTATTTAGCACTTGCCAGGATTCATAAAAGATGTTCTGTGATTTTTTCCCCCCCCATTAGGGTGTTAAAAATTTAAGTCTCTGGGCTGGATGCTAATGGCTCATGACTGTAATCCTAGCCACTAAGGAGGCTGAGGTCTGAGGATTATGGTTTGAAGCCAACCCAGGCAAAAAAAAAAAAGAAGAAGAAGAAAAACTCCATGAGATTCTTATCTTCAGTTAACTAGCAAAAAGTTGAAAGTGAAGCTGTGGCTCAAATGGTAGAGCGCTAGCCTCTCAGGGACAGAACCAAGTTCAACTCCCAAGACTGGCACAACAACAAAAAAGTCTCTGATACTTAGTGTGGCTCAAGGCTTTGTTTTTTGTTTTATTTGACTCAAACGTAACTGTGGAGGGGGTAATTATTCAATTTGTAAATTCCCTGTGTTTCCTGATGGCTTTGGTTGTTGTTATGTCTTTACCTGTGGTTTCAAGGGACCACATTAGAATTCCAGATGAAGACACAGCTATTGCCAAATAGATACCTGCCCTGTGGTTCTAGAGATAACTATGAGCTCTTGAGTGACTGATAGCTAATTTAGGAAGGGATATAGGGAAGGGTAGGAAGTCTGTCCAGAAATCAGTATAGAGTAGGCATTGTTTATGTCTTAAATTGAAGAATGCAAAGCACAGATGAATCAGTGCCCTTAAGTTGCTTTAAAAATTTTAGATGTAGCAGATGTTAAAAACTTTCAAAAATGTGATAGATTCCAATGATAAATTGCAATATAGGGGCTGGGAAGATGGCTCAATGGTAGAGCGCTTGCCTTGCATGCATGAGGCCCTGGGTTCAATTCCTTAGCACCACATAAGCAAAATGAAAAAAGCCGGAGGTGGCGCTGTGGCTCAAGTGGTAGAGCTCTAGCCTTGAGCTGAAGAGCTGAGGGGCAGCGCCCAGGCCCAGACTTCAGGCCCCACAACCGGACCCCCCCAAAAAAAACAAAAAAAAATGGCAATATGTAAATTAGCCAGTATAGAATAACAGTAATTATGAATGTTGCCATGCAGAATGTAGCTCTTTGTTGTTGTTGTATTTTTAATGTCCTTAAAATTTTACCAGTTTTTTGTTTGTTTTTCTTGGTCCTGGGACTTGAACTCTGGGCCTGGGCATTGTCCCTTAGCTCTTCGGCTCAAGATGAGAACTCTATCACTTGAGCCACAGCTACTTCTGGTTTTCTGGTGGTTTATTGGAGATGAGAGTCTCATGGACTTTCCTGCTGGGGCTAGCTTTGAACCGTGATTCTCAGATCTCAGCCTCCTTAGTAGCTAAGATTATAGGCGTGAGCCACCCACACCCAGCTCCTGTTTTTTCTTTTCTTTTTTAAACTTTATGGACATTTACTGGCATGGAAAAGATACAGTGTGCTTCCTCAACACTTGTTTCTGCCCTCAGTATACTTTACTATATTTTCCGTATTCTGAAGGTCACTTGTATTCTGTTTCTCCTAGCCCCTTTTTCTACCCTTAAAGCCAGCTCCTCATAGCTTCTTTCTGATCAAGCTGCAGTAAGCATGTCTTCCATATCTGCCTCTGATGGTTGTTCTGCTTTCCTCCAGCTTTTTAAAAATATTAATATAAATTAATTGTACAATAAAGTTTAATTGTGAAATAAATATGAAGTACTTTTTATCAAATTTGCCCTATCTTTACTCTTTCTTAATATTTTTCCCCTTTATTCCCTCCTTTTGTTTAAAAACAATTTTTGATGGGTCTTATTATGCTATTTTTATATAAGTAAAGTAGCTCTACAATTATCACTCTCTTGTCACACTTTTATTTTCCCTCTCTCCCCACCCACTGGTCCTTATGCCCAAATAATCCTTTTTATACAATCATGTCAGTTTTTTGTGTTTTGTTTTTTTTTTTCCGGTCATTGGGCTGGGAAGGTGGCTCAGTGGTAGAGCGCTTGCCTTGCATGGGGCTTGAACTCTGGGCCTGGGCGCTGTCCCTCAGCTCTTCAAGTCAAGGCTAGTGCTCTACTACTTGAGCCACAGCGCCACTTCTGGTTTTCTGGTGGTATATTGGAGATAAGAGTCTCATGGCCTTTCCTGCCCAGGCTGGCTTTGAACCGTGATCCTCAGATCTCAGCCTCCTGAGTAACTAGGATTACAGGTGTGAGCCACAGGTCCCGGGGGTCCCCCCACCCCCCTGCCTTTTTTTAGATCTAGATTCTACATATGAATAAAACCTTACCAGTTTATCTTACTACATTTGTCCTACCAAGTGAGTTTGGTTTATCTCACTTAACACAATAATCTCTAGTGTTTATCCACTTTCTAAAGAATGAAGTACCAGTTGGTTTTTGCTTATTTGATTATTTGCTTGGTCAGCAACCTAAAAGAATAAAATTCCTTACTTTATATCTCTTCATCTTTTTTGTACCTAGAATTCTACTGTGGTGGGGTTACAAAAATAGCTGACTTTAAGAATACACTCATGACTTCACATCTCACTGACTGTAACAAGTTCCTGTATGATGTGTCATTCAGCTCCTTCTAAACTCGCTTCCTGAATCTTCTGTTCTCAAGAGCTCTAAGCTTCTCCCATCTTCTCCTGATTCCAAAGCCTCTTGTCCCTCCCTTCAGAGAGGTAACAGCCCTGGCAGTATAGAGAAGGCCTAAAATGGTTTTTCAATCACATCAAGAGAAAAAGTCCAGCATTCAGTATTGTTTTGCAATTTTTTTTTTTTGGGGGGGGGGGTCCGGTCATGGGGCCTGAACTCTGGGCCTGGGCACTGTCCCTCAGCTCTTCAGCTTAAGGCTAGCCCTCTACCACTTGAGCCACAGCCCCACTTCCGGCTTTTTTCTTTTTTTGCTTATGTGGTGCTGAGGAATGGAACCCAGGGCCTCATGCATACAAAGCGCTCTACCACTGAGCCACCTTCCCAGCCCTGTTTTGCAGTTTTGTAGACTCATAATAATGCTGGCTTATGAATGGACTAATGGAGCAGTGTGTTTATCAACTAGATAGTAAGCACAACAGTTTTATAATAGGCTGCTTGTATTCCTTCTACTGTACAGAAAAGACACATACATTATTGGCTTTTCAAATTACAGTTATCGTAGGTGGAAACTGAGTGAGACTTTTGTATATAGATGTTTGTGTAAATTTATGAAGATTTTTGCCTGAATCCTGTTTCTTTTTCTAGCTAAAAGAAGTCTTCAGGAAGCAGCTAGAGAAGGCAGAATATGAAATAAAGAAGACAACAGCTATTATTGCTGAGTATAAACAGGTAATGTGCTGTTGTGCATTTTGTTGCTATAAAAATTACTTTTTAGGGCTGGGAAGGTGGCTCAGTGGTAGAGAGCTTGCCTCACATGCATGAGGTCCTGGGTTCGATTCCTCAGCACTACATAATCAGAAAAAGCTGAAAGTGGTGCTGTGGCTCTAGTGGTAGGGTACTAGCCTTGACCTGAAGAGCTGCGGGACAGCGCCCAGAGACCCAGAGGCCCCATGGCTGACAAAAATAAAAATAACAAAAAAAATTACTTTTTACTTCTTTTTTTTCTTTGTTTTTAAATTTTTAAGAGCAGTTTTTAGAGATACTAAACATAGTATGTCATTCTCTTCCTTTGAAATAAGCAGTGGTTGGACTTGAAAGGTCAAATTTATCAAAATAATTTGTTGGTTATTTACAATGTTTGGTCGATTTCTAAAGTGGGAAACATTATTACCATTGACATCCTTTTCCTAGTGGCAGTATTTGCCTCTCCGAGAAATTGGCATGAACTGGCAGTAGCCAGTGGATCAGATTCCCCTTGGCTCTCACAGTACCGAATGCAGATACTTTTTCCTATGCAGGCCAGTGCTAGCTAGAAGCTTTCTACTATGAACTTTAAAATGCACTTTTGACAGAGGGCTTTCTCTCCTTAAAGATGTTTCTAGCTCTGTCAGCAGGGTGGTCCTACGAAACACATGTTCCAGCTCCAGTTGTATCTTTCTGTCCCTCCTATTGGCCAGACATGGCCATGACCCTTCCTTGCTAAGAGATCCAGAATAGGTTATTCATATTCCAGGCTTCCTGAATTGAAGTGTCTTATGACATGTTATCTAAGTGAGGATTTCCCTGAGATCACCAGCTGCACAAAGGACATCGAAATCTGATGTGTAACTTTTTAAGTGTTTTTTTCCTGCTTAGAAGTGGTATTTTTTTTTTTTTTTTGCAGAAAATAAGAAAAAAAATTGTACAAGGAAAATAAGCCTTTTTTAATCTCACTAATTAGAAATACCCCTTAGAATGTTGGATATGCATTGTTCTGATATAAATAAATGTTACATGAATATATTTATAATGCATATAAGCAGGATGAACTACATTATTCATACTATTTTTGGAAGTATATTTAGTTAACATAATATGCATATATTTTATGTATTTTTTATTTTATGTATTTTATATAATATATTTTATTAGGATTTATATAGGATTTTGTAAGGATCAGTAGTAAAGTACTTACTAATATGTACAAAGCCTGGGTTTGGTCCTCACAAATAACAAATAAAAGGATTTCTTGTACTCATGGAAGATATATTTTTTTAGAAACAAGGTTTTAGAACCATCTTACTGTCTTTTATGGTAGTAACATGTTTACTTAATTCTTTTTATTTGTGAGGCTTGATTGTTCAGGGGACTGAAAGATGAGTTGATCTCATCTCTCTTCTCTAGAAGCTTATCTTTTAATGCAGAGGGTAATACCTGTGCAACTGTAAGCGGAAATGGAACTTACTATGTATGAGAAATTGGAGCTGTGCTTCAGAGGCTAGGTGAGACCGGGTATATGGAGATGGATAGAAAAGGTGAAAAGAGGGAATTGCCACAATGAGCAAAAAATGTTTTTGTTTGACTAAAGATTCAAACACAGAGAGAAGCATAGGTACACTGGGGCCTGGAAATGTCAGGGCTGGGCTGAAGAGTTTGGATTTGTTTGTAATATGACGGTTTTTGTGTACATGTGTCTGTCCAGTGGCTTGACCTTAGAGCTGTGGCATTGTCCTTTTCCTTCAAGGTTAGTGCTCTACACTTGAGTGAGCAACAGCTTCACTTTCAGCTTTTTGATGATTAATTGGAAATAAGAGTCTCACCCACCTTGCTCCTAGGCTAGCTTTAAATTGCAGCCCTCAGATCTCAGCCATTTGAGTAGCTAGGATTATCGAAGTAAGCCATAGGTACCAGGCCTGAAATAGGATTTTTTAATTAATTTTGTAGTACTGGGTTTTGAACACCATGGCTTTATGGCATGCTAGAATATCGTTGTCCATTTAAGCCACACCTCCAGCCCTTCTGTTTTTATTTTGTTTTTGAGCTGGGGTCTCACTAACTTTGCCCAAGTTAGCCTTGAACTTATGATCCTTCCATTTGTATCTTCTAAGTAGCTGGGATTACAGATTATGCATTACACACCTGGCTCTAGATAGCATTTTGAGCAGGAAAGTGGCTGCCTAGGAAAATGATGTTGGCACTACTCATACCATGAGGAATGCAGAACCAAGGGGGAAGATCTACAGACAAGTAAGAGGTTCATAGTAGAGTCAGTGTGCAATGAAACAGGGCCCAAACCAAAATAACTAGCAGTGAAAACAGAAGAGGAAAACAAGATTGTAAATTTTTTTCCAGACAAGATATGAAATGGAAAGTGATTGCCGACATTTTGAATTTGAGTAACCAGGAAAAGAGGTGTTTAGACATTAATGGGCACTGGGAGCCTGCCACCTGCAGATAAACTTCTTTGTCACACAGGCTTTCTGCTGCTTGTTGCAGAAATGACCAGTAGTTGTAGTGCTGTTTGTTTACAAAATGTCTTCTAGGATCAGATGTGCTGGAGAGCTTCATGATATATAAGCAGTTATGTATACCTGCATACTTCAAGAATCATTCCATTTTCTAGTAAAGAAACTTTTTTTTTTTTTTTGCCTTAGATCTGTTCCCAGCTAAGTACTAGGCTAGAGAAACAGCAAGCAGCCAGCAAAGAGGAGCTGGAGGTTGTAAAGGTAAGGCATGAACTTCTGTGAACTAATTTCTTCCAGATGTGGTCTCCTGAGTATTTTAAAAGGATTTCCTTGCTCATTTTGTTTTAAAGAAAAAATTATGAAGCGTAATATATTTCTCTTGTGCCTGGGTTGTGACCATCTTTCTGATGGGCACAGATATGTGCATGTCAGTGGTGTGAGCTGTCAAAATCAAGTGCTGGGAAAGTAGGTTAGGAGTTAAACAGCATTGTCAGTGAGGCCTCTGAACCTTATGGCATTTGGATGGGAACCTGACAGCTCACATCTCACGGTGTCTGAATTTATGTGGCTTCAGTGTGGGGCTTAGGAAGGTCATCCCATTACTTTCTTGAACAGTGAACACCACAGGCAATACAGAACTTGGCTGGAAGCCAAGTCTTTAGTGGTTTGTTTTCAAAGAAAACCTGTGGCACTCATTATATGCTGCCCTCTGGTGGTAAAACTTATTCTGTTGCTCTTATTTGAAAAAAGTGATTGCTTTTTTTTCAGAAGTGAAAGTAACCCACAAGGACTGGTATTCTTAAGAAGCCAGACCCAAAGAAACATAGGTTGCATGGTTTCCCTCATTTGTGGAAACTAGAATGTGCCTTTAAATTTACAAGTAAACACAAAGGGTAGTAAAAGACAAAATATACACTTGGACAGCATAAATTATACAAGTCTGAAGACATTCACACAGTGAAACCAAAGGAGGATATTCTTAGGAGAGGATCACAAAGTCTCAATATCTATGTGCATATGATCATATAAAATGATATTTATCAAAATGAACTCTAAGAAATGGGAACAAGAGGGAGTCCCCCCCCACTTGCTGTTTTGATTTCTTTACCTTTTTGTATTTGGGAGGATAAGAAGGGGTATAGATAGGGTGGGTCAAAAGATAAACAAATGCAGCAGTGATATTCTGTAGATACTAGGTTGAAAATGAACGATGTAACTTGTGGGTGGGGACAGGAGAGAAAAACTAGGAGAAATGGAGGGAAAGGGTAACACTGTTCAATAAGAAAGGTACTCAATACCTGACTTATGTAACTGTTACCCCTCTGCACATCACCTTTACAATAACAAGAAAAAAGAAAAAAATTCAAAAAAGAAGCACTGTTGGCTCAGTCAATTCTTTTTTTTTTTTTTTTTAATTTAATTTTATTTTATTTGAGATCATACTGTACAGAGGGGTTACAATTACATGGGCAGGATAATGCATACATTTCTTACCAAGCCTCCTCCTTTGTTTACCCTTTACCTCCCTTCCCGGCCTCCCCCCTCCCCCCCACCCAATCCTTCCCCCCCTCCCCCCCCCACCGACATTGTAAAGCTCGTTTTTTGACATGACATTTTGTACTTCTCATTGTTGCAACAGGTCCACCTGAATCCTTAAACGACTTGTTTGTCCCCATCTCCTCCACAAGTTATACTGACATCAAATATAGTGAAAGCGGGGGTTACACTGTGGGGGAGGGACATACAAAGCAACAAAGAAATAATCTTATAAATGCGTTAGAAAGGGCTCAGTCAATTCTTGAGACCTGACCCCCTTCCTCTGACCACACACAGGTTTGATACCATGTGTCTGGGCAATTTTGCATATAATTTAATGACATTGAAAAGTTATTTAAACTTTGGACTCCAGGTAAATAGAGGTAACATTACATGCTTCATAAGATAATTTTGAAAGTGAAAATAAGACTATGAATGTAAAATGCTTAGTTTTGGACTTAGCATCCAGTAAGTACTTTTATTTAAAACCTGAAATTATGAACATCTTTCTGACGCTAGAAAAAGTATTTTTTTCATTTCTTGTTAGAACATATCAATTTCACAAGGGAGAACTCAAATAGGATGGTTTCTTAGAAAAGTAAAGTCAAAAGTTCAGCAAAATAAAACACCAGGAAGTGAGTACTTGAAAGGGGTGGGAAGGGATCAAGGGGTGGATGAACGAAGAGAGAGGACTGGGAAGTGGGAAAATGCAGTCAAGAATCCAGCCAGGCACCAGTGGTAATTCTAGCTACTCAGGAGGCTGAGATCTGAGGATCGCTGTTCAAAGCCAGCTCTGGAAGAAAAGTCTGTGAAACTCTTTCTTTTTTTGGGGGGGGGGGGGGTTCAGTCGTAGGGCCTGAACTCTGGGCCTGGGCGCTGTCCCTCAGCTCTTCAGCTCAAGACTAGAGTAATTCTAGCTACTCAGGAGGCTGAGATCTGAGGATCGCTGTTCAAAGCCAGCCCTGGAAGAAAAGTCTGTGAAACTCTTTCTTTTTTTTTTGGGGGGGGGGGGGTCCGGTCATGGGGCCTGAACTCTGGGCCTGGACGCTGTCCCTCAGCTCTTCAGCTCAAGACTAGCACTCTACCACTTGAACCCAGCTCCTCAAGCATGCAAGGCAAGCGCTCTACCACTGAGCCACCTTCCCAGCCCTGTGAAACTCTTATCTCCAATAAACCACTCAAAAACTGGAAGTGGTGCTGTGGCTCACATGATAGAGCATTAGACTTGAGCTGAAGAGCTGAGAGACAGCGCCCAGGCCAAGAGTTCAAGCCCCATGACCAAAAAAAAAAAAAAAAAGAATCCAATGTATATCCTATAAAATTAAGAAGAGCAAGGAGAAAGTCAAATAGAAGGATGGGGAAGAATGTTAAAGGGGTGACATTGATCAAGATGTATTTATACACATAAACTGCTTTGTTAAAGGGCAACTAACTCCTTTGTACAACTACTTAAAGATTATAAAAATACTTAATAAAATAAGACAAAGGGGCTGGGAAGGTGGCTCAGTGGTAGAGCGCTTGCCTTGCATGCATGAAGCCCTGGGTTTGATTCCTCAGCACCACATAAGCAGAAAAAAAAAGCCAGAAGTAGTACTATGGCTCAAGTGGTAGCGCGCTAGCCTTGAGCTGAAGAGCTGAGGGACAGTGCTCAGGCCCAGAATTCAGGCCCCACGACCAGACCCCAAAAAAATAACAAAAAACAAAATTTCTAAAACAGATTTCAAAGACAGGCTATAATGCTTTCCCCTCTCCTCTCCCAACCCCCACCTCAATCCTGGGACTTGAACAGAGGGCCTGGGCTCTATCTCTGAGCCTCTTTGTGCTCAAGGTTAGCACTCCAGCACTTGAACCACAGCTCCATTTCTGGCTTTTTCTGAGTAGTTTATTGGAGATAAGAGTCTCACACGGACTTTTCTGCCCTGGCTGCCTTTGAACCATGATCCTCAGATCTCAACCTTCTGAGTAGCTAGGCTTACAGGCCTGAGCCACTGGTGCTCAGCTTCTAATACTCTTAAGACCTTTCTAGAAATTCTTAATGAAAAATGAATCCTTGTTTTGGATAATTGGAATATCTGTAAACTGTAACCAGTTTTGTCACAGCACCGGAAAACACCTTCAGAAATGAGACATTGTATGGCAGTAATCAGAGTTTTAAAACCCATGGTATCTGAAAGTGATTTCAACTATGAAACAGTTGGGTGTTGGTTATCTCTTTTGTATATTTTAGGGTAAAATGATGGCATGCAAACACTGCAGTGACATCTTCAGCAAGGAGGGTGCTTTGAAGCCAGCAGCTGTAAGTGGAGAGGACCAGGGGATGGAAGCAGACGATGAAAAGGACTCGCTCAAGAAGCAGCTGAGGGAGATGGAGCTGGAACTGGCACAAACCAAACTGCAGTTGGTGGAAGCCAAGTGCAAGATCCAGGTTGGTGACTTGATAAAAGTCCAAGAAGGAAAAATCAACAGCTAGTGGTCCAGCATGGCCTGGTACTTTCGAATTCCCTGACCTCGGTGTGCATCCTGCGACGTTGCTGTGTGTGCTGGGTGCATGTTCTGTCTACTGCTGTGCCCTGCAGAGCCACACTTCCATCATGTCTTTGTAAACATTGATAGAAACACATGATTTTACTTATTTTCTTTTCATGTTTTTCCTTAATGTTTTTTTTAAATTATCTCTAGTTATGAGAACTTAAGAATATGCTTTTTAGTTTACCCTGAGATTTTTGTTGTTGTTGTTGCTCAAGTCCTTTCTTGTGGAATTGGTCCCTTTGGTGGCTGATCCTGGAAATAAGATGAAGATTTTCCCTGCTGCTCATCTTTTAGGGCTGTTCTTCCTCACTCTCCCTTCCTCCTTTCCCCGCTTCTCCCTACCCTCCCTCCCTCCCTCCTCCTCCTCCTCTTTTTCCTTCCTTCCTTCCTTCCTTCCTTCGTTCCTTCCCTCCTCCCTCCTTCCCTCCCTTCTTTCCTTCCTCCCTCCCTTCCCTGCTCTTCCTCCTCCTTCTCCTTTTCTCTTCCTCCCTCCCTCCTCCCTCCTTCCCTTCATCCCTCCCTCTCTCCCTCCCTCCATCCCTCCCTCCCTCCCTTCCCTGCTCTTCCTCCTCTTCTCCTTCTCCTCCTCCTCCTTCTCTCCTCCTCCCTCCTCCTTCCCTTCCTCCTTTCTTCTTTCCTTCCTTCCCTCCTCCCTTCCTTCCTTCCTCCCTCCCTCCTCCCTCCCTTCCCTCCTGTTCCTTCTCTTCCTCCTCCTCTTCTTCTCTCCATATTACAGAACAATCCAATGAGAAAAATAATCCTTGCTCCTGATGGACCATTATTCTCCATTTTCTTTTATCTGAGCTCCTGCTGTGGTCTGTCCTGGCATCCACCTGACTGCACTGGGAACACCAGCTATCTGCCGGCACTGGGCCTGAACATTCTTGGGGACACAGCCCATGCCTTTGGGACTGAAGCTCATTCATGCTTATACTAACAGTGAAAATTCATCTTACCCATAGCCCTATAGTTATTGATGTTTTTAAACATAAACCTAAACTGTTTGGGACCTCAGTGACAGGGAACAGAGAAAGAGTAAAATGAGATTTCATTTCAATACTTAGAGAAAGCACAGGTTCTAATCTCATCTCTTTCAATTCTAAACTTTTTTCTTCTATTAAGAAGCCAATTCAGCCTCTCCTGGGTTTGGAGGAAGGAAAACCTACTTCATGGATTGAAGGATTCCAGAGGCTGAGCGCTTTATTTCTATTGGCATTTATATAACAAATTATTTTCTTTCTTTAATTAGGAACTTGAACATCAGAGAGGAGCCCTTATGAATGAAATTCAAGCTGCAAAAAACTCTTGGTTTAGCAAAACCCTGAACTCTATCAAAACAGCCACAGGCACCCAGCCCCTGCAGCCAGCGCCGCAGGCTGCCACCCCCGCCACCCAAGGAGAGCTCATAGCTCCAGCCCCAGCCAGCACAGAGCACAGCCATCACACAGCGGAAACCCAGGGAAATCCTTCCTGGTGTCCTTTTGAAGGAACGTAAAGAAGGCCAGAAAGCAAGCCAGAATCTTTCAATAGCTCTCTTTCATATATGACACTTTTCAAAGGGGTTATTTAAGTTGATCTGATTTATGTTGAATACTTACTTTACAGCTTCTTTGTGGAAGGCCCATGTTCAGATTCATCATAGTATTACACATTATTTTATATGCCTGATGTTCGGTCAGAAATAAGTAATTCAGCGCTAAATACTTTCTACTTAGACATCATTACTAATAACAAGTTTATCTTACATAAAAACAGAGGCATCTATTAATAATTCCAAAGGTGAATTGACAGGAAGACCTCTGTCACAGGAAAAAGAAAAAGAAAGGCAAGCCTGAGCCTGTACCATTTCAGGATGTATCTATTCTTATAAAGCACATTATGGAGCTGGCCATGATCACTGTCAAGATTCATCTTGAAGATGGTCCCCAAGATAGTGATTCTCCTGTCCGAAGGAAAAGTCAGACCAGGCACTGGAAAGTTCCCAAAGATAATTGGTTCATTTTATGTTGAGTTCATCTGGAAATGAAGTGCCAAGAACTGTGAATAGCGGGGCTGGTGAGGGTACGGAAGCAAGATTTTGATGAACATAAGACAAAACCGTTTTGGCTCTGGTGTTGTAGTTCCATTCAGAAACCTTACCTGGGACTTATAAACTCCTAGTAGGCCTAGATGAGAACACAGATGTAACTTCTGGCAAATGTAAAGGCTATGGGGGATGTTGTGAGTTACATACTTAGGGAACCTTGCCCAGAAATGTCTAGAATGGTTCAGATTCAGTTGTTATGCTCAGGCTGGAAGACAGAAACAGTGACAAATTATTGGATGTGGACAGACTTGCTAAGAAGACATGAATGCTCTGTAACTTCATTTAAGAACATAGTATGGGAATGGAAACTGAGGTCAGTTTTACATCATCATAGCAAATATTAGAAAACATTTCCTGATTTCTGTACCTCCCTAAAAACATGTACCCTGGGTACCTATAGAAGAAGATACAGAAAATAGATTTGTAACATTTTTGACTAAATGTAGAACCTTTATAGAAATACTTATGAAAAAGTAAGGCTGCTGTTCAAAATTTGTTAGAAATATTTTTAAATTATATTTGACATGCCTATATAATAATTTCTCCATTTTCTAAGCTGTTTTGGAGAGCTCTATTTCATTCACACCAACCGAATTGTATACAGTAACACTTAGGGATATTCATTCTTAGCTTCATTGTTTGCAAAACCATATTGTTTGCAAAGGATCTGAAACTGAGTGCTAGAGAGCTTCTCTTTTGTGCCATAAGTCACATGATATGTAACCTTCTTAGACAGAGTCAAGTAAGAGTTTTCTCCGATCCAGGAGTATGTACTACAAGTTGCTTATGATAGATCCTACAATGATCTTTATGTTCTCAGAGTGAAATCCTGTTCATCTGTGTTTATTTCATCTCCAGTCCATAAGACTGATAAAGTTATTTGATCTATGTTATTTGTCCAATAATACTTTCCCTGTAGATTTTGTTGTTCAGATACCTCTCATCATGAGATTCATTTCCTTTTACTGAAAGGGAAAATAACCCAGCATTCCAAGTGTTGTTGTTGACTTTAACATTCCCTACATAGTGGTTTAGATAAGCTAATATTTTTTGTAAAATATTATAGCTAGAAAATTACACCTTGTTTCTGTAAGTTGTATAGTATAGTCTGTTAGCTTTCCTAGTTCTTTATGCTTTGATTCCAAGAAGCCCTGTGCAAGTTACCTTTTCAGATGGCAAGCTAAATTAAAGATGCATTTCTGTGTTATGAACTTTAGAGAGTCATACAAGATCTTTTTAACTTCTGAAAATAAATGTATTCCACACAATGCCTATGTAGCTTGTTTTCCCTAAATGGCAAGTGAGATCAATAGAATGGCTATAGGCTGAGCCCTTGTCTGTGGACAGTGTCATACCCCACCCCTTCCCCTTTATATAAAATCACCAGGTGCATACATTCCACAAGTTTGAAAAACCTATGTTCTTCAGTTTTAACTCTTAAAAAGATAAAAGGGGTATATGTACCGGTCCTGTGTCTAAACTGCCCATTACTGCATTGCCTTGGGTTGGCAGCAGTAATGAAGACTGAAGAAAAATTTTAATTTGGTTTATGACATATAATAGGCTTCTTTATATAATACATTATACTAGCAGTTTTCCAAACCACATGTCCTTCATTGTCTAGCGTCTGAAAATTCCTCCTTATACTTATTTTATTTTAATTTCACATATATATATATATATATATATATGTATATATATTTCCCCCTCCCTTGAGAACAGGATTTCACTAGGTAGAGCCCAGGCTGGCCTCAAACTAATAGTCCTCCCACCTCAGCTTCTCAAATACTAAAACTACAGGTATGCATCACCACAGCCGGCTGAAAAACTCTTCTCTTGAAAACCTGTCAGATATCAACCAGCCAAATATCTAGGAAATTTTTGAACATGCTAATATTTTTTATCATTTCTTCAGATGTACACTGTATAAAACATTCCTCTAAAACTCTAGTATTTACAATATCTGAAAAGTGATCATTTCTGCTTTCATAAATTCTGTAGAATTAAGTGAATAAAACTCAGCCTAGTAGTTCAGTTCATTAGCTTTTACTTATTGAAAAGCTTACTTAACACATTCTTTAAAGCTGACAGGAACTAAGCTGATTTCACAGTGTGTATGTTTGCTGGTGGCCTCATCCCCAGGGGATATCACAATTTGTATATAATTTAATGCAAAGATATTCTCAGTTACCTAATGTTCGGTATGACATTCCTAGGAATGTCAAAGAGGCCTGTTACATTTCTTTTCATACAAAAAAATATCTCCCCCTCTCTCAGCTATTAAATTAGTACTTTTTTTCCTCACTCGTTTTCTTAAATTTACCTGACAAAGTAGAAAAGAAACCGTTGTACTGATTTTGGGATATTTAATAATATTTATTATATTTCAATTTCTAAAACTGTCCATTCTTTCCTACTATGTATTAATATTTATTTATTTTTAACTCCTACCCCCACTTTCTCCAAATATTTTTTCAGTTATTAACCAGTTGGCTTCATTTCCTATCTGAAGAAAATGAGGACAATATAGAAGAGAAGGCACAGAAGATAAAGTTAGACCCTTAAAGGTATCTATCAGTCACCTAGGAAAGAACCACATGGTCAGCTGATTTAAGTCATTGAGCTTTCCTTTCCTTTAGCTGAAATCAAGCCTGCTAACTATCTTACCAACCTTGTGCATCAACACACTAATGTGGTTGTCTGATTTTTAGGAGTTGAGAGGACATTTAAAATATGTTTTTTTAACATTTGGGAAAGAACACTTTTAATTACATGGAAATTGGTTTTATTTATAGACATTACCCTTAAACACTCTAAAATAATCCTGTTGTTCAACTACAAATAAATAAGAGAACAAATGAATTCCATTGTATGATTTAAAGTTGTAAGTGAGTGTGTGTGTGTGTGTGTGAGAGAGAGAGAGAGAGAGAAAGGTGGAATTTTATATAGAGTATAGAGAGTCTTCTGTATACATAGATACCATGCACTGAAATTTCAAAACGTGATAAAAACTAGAAGGCCAGACCAACACCTCTGTGGCCTTGTTTCCCACTACTTGATAGAAAACTCTAGTCATTGTGCTGATGGTCAGCTAGAACAGTTTGAAAGCATTGTTCTTTGTTCAGTGGCATTTCTAGGACATAGTCAAGGCCCTTTACCTTAACAACTTCCTTACGTTTTAAAATCTACAAAAATGAGGACTCCAGTGAGGGCTGTATCTCAACAGGCAATGCTGATTTTAATGTGTAAGGAGAAAAGTAGGTGTTTATGGGATTTTAATGATTGCAGTCTGCTCTCTTGTATGTCTTTCTCGATTTCCATCTTAAAAACTACATGTCAAGCTTACCTCCAAATGAGTTTTTTACTTGATAATAAAAACATCTTCAATATATCCCTTTTACATGCCCCATCCTTGGTTTATCTTTAGTTGTATTCTACAAAGTTTAAGAAAAATGCATTATTGAGGAGAAACTATTTTGATATTTTCCTTTTCCACTGACAATTGATTAACATGTAAAATATTTCTCTTCCAATTGTACTTCTAATAACTATATGCTATATGGAATAAAATAGGGAAACCTGATGTGTGAGAATACAACTGCATCAAAAGATACTTGTGTTGAAAGCACAAGAATAAAGCTGGAAATGGTCCCAGAATCCAACATGTTCCCAATAGCCTTTTGCATCAGTTTCTCTATTTTTGGTATTTTACATAATATATGGATTCTTAGTTCACATAAGGAGAAAGATTTCTCAGTTGTTCTCACTTTATTCGAGCTCCTACCTTTCCTTTGCTGAAGAGGTAGTAGAAATTCTGTACTATTATGAAACTTATGATTTTTCCCACACCATCTGTAATGAAAACAGGTAATGTAATAAAGGAGTTGATTAGTCTTGACAGTGCTAATTGACTGCAAAAGAAACATTGGTCATCAGCTTCTTCCTCTATAAACAATGACCAGTTAGATGTTACCTTAATTCCATGTATTATGCATAGTACACTCTATAAATGTAAATGTAATGCTTGTGAAGAAATGTGCAATTTATTGTACATTGTCCCAACAAATGTTTACTTTTATAATCATTATGAACTTGAATTACTATCTTGTTTTCATGTGTGAATGAAACATTGTAAAATAAATAAATGCAACCAAGAAGGTGACAAGGTGACTGTTTTTGTGAGCCAGTGGCATTTTCAATGCTTTGTGTTGCCCCTTTGGTCCCATTAAGTAGTAATAAATATTTGTTCTGAAGTTCAAAAATGTCTCGTTTTCTTCAGATTGACTTTATTCTGAATTATTTGAACCTAGTGTTTATGTATAACAATTTTTATCTGACACTAGACTCCAGTCCACTCAGTTTGTTTTGTTGTTGCCATGTTTGTTTGGAGACGGTCTTGTTTAGCCCTGAATTGTATCTCTGCCTCCCCAGTACTGGGATTATAGGCATGTACCACCATGTCCAGCCTCAAGTCAATTTAGAAAACACAAAGCATTTGCTCTAGGATGTATTCCACAAAATGATATCCTGTGCAGCACCGCCCCATTGCCCTCATGACTCAGTGGCAAAGCACCTACCTCCAAGTGTGAGGCCCTGAGTTCAAACCCTGTACCATCAAAAAAGTAATTAGCCTTCTCAAGCTAGTTTCTTAAGTTTTAGCCAGTGTCAGTGGCTCACTGGCCCCTGTAGTCCTACTTTATTAAGGAGGCTAAGATCCAGAGGATTGTGGTTCAAAGATGGCCCAGGCAGAAGACTCCACTAGACTTCCAACTTTAACCAGCAAAAAGAAAGAGTGGAGACATGGCTCAGGTGGTAGTGCATCAGCTGAGTAACCATGAGAACCTGAATTCAAACCTCAGTACTGCCAAAAAATTAAAAATTAACATGAAGCAGGGCACAGCCAAATAGTTGGGCCTGAAGAAGTACTGGCTCAAGAGACTAGAATGCTAGGGACCTGAGCAACTCTTCCCATAATCATTTCTGTTCTGCTTTCCAGATAGTGTTCATCTGCATTTTTGCTCTGAAAACAAGCTTTGTCTGTTGCTGAGTACACAACTACCAAATTTGTCTGTCCTCTCTTCAAATGACTAATAGGTAGACTAACCCGAACAGAATCTAGGGGCTCTACAGAGATTGGAGGCAGTGTGCAGAGTCCTATTCTGCCCACTTTCTTTCGTGCCTCTATCAGCGCTTGAACTCAGGGCCTTGTGCTTTTCCTCTGCTCTTTTGCTCATGGCTGGCATTTTACCATCTAAACCACACCTTCAGTCTAGCTTTTTTGCTGTTCAGTTGGAAAGAACAGTCTCGACTTTTCTACTGCAAGTGGCTTTGAACTATGGTCCTCAGATCTGTCTCTTGATTAGCTAGGAGGCATGAGCCACCATCACCTGGCCTGTCTTTGATGGTACTTGCCTGCAATTGCAGCATTTGGGAGGTAAATTCAAGAGGATGAGCTCAAGGCCAGCCTGGGTTGCAGAGTTCCAGGGGAGACTGGGCTACCATAGGAAGATACTGTCTCAAACAAAACAAAAACTAGGAACAAAATTAGGACCTGTTTAAAAAACAACAAAAAAAAACAACACAGCTTGTAGCTCAAACCCAGACCACAGATACCTTTGGCCCATGTGGTATATTTTAAGTAATGAGAAATTCATGGAGAACACTTGGGTTGAAGGTAGCTCTGTGGCAAATCACCTGCCTAGTAATGTGTAAGGTCCTGAATCTCATTCCCAGGACCACTACCAAAATATGGGTTTAAATTACGTGGAAAATATCCATTGAGTTCAGGTCCCAAGTGGGCTTGATAGGAGTAACTAGAGGAGGTAGGATGCCAGCATGGTAGAGTAAGTACAAAAGACCATTCCATTTCCAGAGGAAAATTGAAAACTTAGAAACAAGGCAAAAAGGTGAGTAGCATAACCTTCAAACATCCACCCAAGGACTGGGGGAATTAGACTTTGTTCATCTCAAACTGTAACTTGTGTTTTTCTAAAGTGGAAATGTAAACCTACTTTCTTTTTGGTTCAACTATTATCCTAAAGGTCAGTTTACTGCCCTATAGGACACTAGCCAATCTCTGACGTTGTGTGATCTTCTAATATTCCATCCCCAAGTTGGATAAAATTACCCAGCTGCTCAAATACTCAGGAAGTTTTAACATCTCACCAGTTTTCTCAACTAAGGAGGTAAGATATTTGCCATGTTTATGTATCTAATTACCTTCATGAAATGAAATTTTTACTACCAAAGGAAGACTCGAAGCATATCTTTTAATGTTTATTTGCAAGGAAATCCAGACGTTAGACAGGGTCACAAAGTAGAAATTACAAGTATTTAAATGGAAAAAAACTACATAATCCCAAGCTTATAGAATCTAGTTTGTTCGCTGTGGGAAAACAGCAATTCTCACACCTTTAAAACTTTCCAAACACATTCATTGCAAAGTTGTGTTTGTTTCATTGTTTGAAAGTATAATTTTACAGAAAAGGCTCAAACTCAGATTTATTTGGGGTACTAGAACTACATACAATAACCCTGGTATGAGTTATTTACGGTGATGCTCCTTTTCTTGTGGTGGTGCTAGATTGAACCCAGACCCTTATGCATTTCTGGGAAAGCACTCTACCATGAGCTACATCCCCCCAGCCCTCTATCATTTACCTCAAGGGTGCAAAGTCGGCTTTTTTCTGACTTCCAGATCCATTCAATCCCATTACTCAGAACTGCTGCAGGGTAATGTAGGGGATGCTACAGACAAGAGCTAGAAACAAGCCACATGAGTGTTTTGTTGCTCAATTGGATGGGAGATTTGAGCTGTTTTAAATGCTGCCAACGAGAAAAATGATCTGGGAATGGCCAGTCACCAACCATGTCTAGGAAAATTTAAGCAGGACTGGCCTTGCTGGGAAAGTGTAATAAAATGGCCAAGGGCCCAGGGAACGGCCCCAAGTTTAAGAGAATAACATTGATGATCATTAACCAGCTGTACAGGCCAATAAAAAGGGGAAACTGGGAGATGCCAAAGGACTACGGTGTTGATGTAGTGATTAGGTAGGCGTGCTGGAAAAACAGAACTGACTTCAGAACATAGGCTTTTCGATTTTAAAAATGGGCAGCTCTGACATGATTAGGTCTAAGGCCTAGCTGTGGATGAGGATATGAGTAACAAAATCAGACCTAATGTTTATAGCATATATACATATACATATTTTTTCATTGTGAAAAATTTTTTATTTTAAGAAAAAAATTCAGTTAACAAAAAAATTTAACAAGTTTCACTTAGCAAAATACACCCAAAAGGAAATCACAGTACAAAGAAAGCTTTAAGTCAAGGCCTCACCAATTCCTACAGTATTAGTATTGTGTCTCAATTCTCAAAACTAACTTTTAAAAAACTTAAAACTTAACCTAACCTAAAAGATATTAAATGAAAGTATAAACTAGAATGAACAAACATGAGAACTGCTGCTCGTTGATTAGGGATCTAGCACCTTTGAGATCTCCAAAAAGTACACGTCCCCACTGTGCTCCTGCGGGTGAAGATCCACCCTGCACATACTTCAACTACTTGAACTCAGATAACAGCACTCTGAAGTATACTAGCAAAAATGTTAATCAAGAAAAGTGGAAGAAAAAAGTTTTAGTTTATTCAATATCACATGCTAGAAGAAAAGTTTGCATGAAAAAACACTAAGTAATTTTTAAATCTATATTTCACAAACTCATGGTGTAAAATGGGTCCCACAGCTTCCTCTAGTATAAACTGCTTTTCACTGCTAACTGGCTGCCTGTGAAAATTCAATTAACTCAACTGCTCCTACAAAACTAGTCATACCCTCCCATGTTATCCTGACCGCTGTAGCCGGTCCCATAGCAACCACTCACTGATTGGCTCTCTAGGCCACTATAGGTGGCCTGGGCAGCAGACACACCCATTTCCTGCATCACCTGGCTGCTATAAACCCCATTGCTGGTCCCTGTGGTTGAATTCAGGAAGAGTTCTATGTATCTGTGCTGCATGTTGGCCCTGTCTTTTGACATCGCCGCCACAGCTTCTTCATGGGTAGCAAACTCAACGTCAGCCTCTCCTGTCACTCTTCCATCTGGGCCAATCTCAATATGAACTCTCACGGGGTTGAGTGGAGAGAAGAAGTTGTAAATGTCGTTCTCGGTGGCTTTGTAGGGCAGCCCTCTCATGTGGACGCAGTGGCCCGTGGTGCTCTGCACGGTGAACTCGCCGTCTCCATATCTATGGTCATACATTCCGGAGAGACAGTAGCTGAGGTCTCTCCCAAACAGGTCGGTGGTGAAGCCATAGCTGTCGCTGAGGCCACTATACTCCTCGTAGCCCCCATAGCCTGCACTGTAGGCGCTGGACCTCATCCGATCCAGGCCTGCCTGCTTCACAATGCCCATGTATCTCCGGGCTGTGCCAGGCCGGTCGTAGGGCCCTGGCCGCTGTGCAGACATAAACTTGAGAGGCATATCTGAGTAGGACCTAACCTCCTCCTGACTGCTCTTGAACACTTCAATATAGCGATGCCCTATTCTCTCCTTGTGTTTCCCTAGAGCCTTCTCAGCTAATTCCTGTGAGGCAAACTGCACGAAGGCCTCCCCTGTAATCTTGCCCTCAGCATTCACTGGCAATGTGATCCCATTTGGCACGATTTCCAACCCTGAGAAGAACTGAATGATTTCTTCCTTTGTGCATCCAAATGGGAGGCCCCGGAGCCGCACGAAGCCATCGTTGGCACAGTCAGCGCTGTTTGGGCCGCTGTGCTTCAACACCCAATCCATCTCGGTTCTATGTGACTTGAACACCTCGATGTACCGGTGGCCCATGCTTTCCCTGTCTTTTTTCAGGGCCAATTTTACATCATCTTGTGATTCAAGTTCAACAAAAGCCTCACCACTCTGCCTGCCTTCTCTAGTATAAATGAAATGGACACCTGCAACCCCATTGTGAATCGTGCAGTTGGAGAGAAAGTTCTGCACGTCCTCAATTGAGCAGGACCATGGCAAGCCACGGAGTTTGACCACAAAGCCTTCACCTCCCTCAGGGCCCAGCATCATGAACACTCGACAGGACAGATGTCAGACAAAGTTGAGCACAGAGTTTTGTAGCTTAAAGAGCAGTCACAGAAGCCTTCAATGGGAGACAGTTATGGTAGGCAACAATTTGTCCACTAAGGTAGAACTAATTTCTACTTTTGTCAAACAAATATGGTTTAGGGCCAGAGAACCCTAGATTCCACCTGATGATTAAAAATGCAGAAGGCTCCGGGGAAAGTCCAGGTGCATCTTCTTTCAGTTCTTAACCTGAAATGGTACAAAGACATATTTTTAGTAATTGTGTTTTTATGTGAACATTTACTAACCTAGCAGTGTTATTAGCTATGCTAGTCCCCATATAGATAAGAAAGAAAACAGAGGGGAGGAGGGGGGAGGCTGGGAAGGGAGGTGAAGGGTAAACAAAGGAGGAGGCTGCAATGCTTGGTAAGAAATGTATGCATTATCCTGACCATGTAATTGTAACCCCTCTGTACAGTATGTTCTCAAATAAAATAAAATAAAATTTAAAAAAAAAAAAAAAAGAAAGAAAACAGAAGCCTCTGAGAATTTAAATAACTAGCCCCAACTTACAGATAAAATATAGAAGCCGTTATTTGCAATCAAGAATCTAAAGCCATTACTTAACATCTAGGGCTTGCTTCCTAAACTTGCTATGGTTAAGAATCACTTAGGGATGAACTAAAGAGATTAGGTAATCTGTGTTGTTAAATCAGTATTTACTGGTTACCTATTGTGTCATCTCCATTCTAAGTAAGATTAAAAATGAGGTAAACGGAGACAAATCTTTGAAACTTACTTCTAGTACAGTTTAGCTGTACTAATTTTGGACTAGATGGTTCTATTATTGGGAGGAGGGATTGTAGGTGGGGGGAAAGTTGCCCTGTACATTATAGGATGTTTAAGAGTCTAAGGACCTTACCTATTAAATGCTAGTAGTGTTTTGGTTTTTTTTTTTTCCAATTGTGACAACCAAAAATGTCTCTCCAGACATTAATAAATATATGGGGGAGAAAGAACTGAGCACAACACAACATCCACAACTGCCCACAGACTACTTTAACAGGTAAGAGGAGGACAGAAACTGGTGAGGATGAAATTACTGAGACAGTTGGTAGGATGGTATTTTTATATGTAAGCTTGGCCTAAACCTCCAGTTATTCAGTAAAAAAAAAAACAAAAAACAAAAAACAAATGTAGCTGTGAAGGAATTTTGCACATATAATTAAAGCCCTAATCAGGGTCACTTTGAGTAAGGGAAAGATATCCTGGATAATCCACTTGGGCCCAATCAGTTGGAAGGTCTTAACAGCTAGCAGAGCAGAGGCTTCCTTTCTATCTAGCTTGTGTACTTCCCTCCCAGACTTCTGCTGAAGAAAAGCTTTAGCCAGTTCAAAGGGACAGTTTGCCTATGATATACCATTTCTGTCTACCTGGCCTACAAATTTTAGACCTGCTTAGCTAATTCCTACAACTGTGTAAGTCAATTTCTTATTCTCTCCCCTACAGATTCTGCTTCTCTGAACCTTAACTAAAGCAGCCTAGAAAAGCCAGACCGGTGTCACTTTTAGGCAGGGAAAAAGCAATAGTAGTCTTGGAGATGAGAAAACACCCAATGGGCTTAAGGACTAACAAAAATACCAGCGTTTAAAGGGGGGAGAGGCTAGAAAGGAGAATGGTAGTAGCAGTGGAGAATGTGAGAAGTCTTTTTTGATTCCTCATATTCTGAAATAAGCCAGCAAGATTTGCTGTAAGATAGGACATAGGCCCTGAGGCTAATTCCTCAGCCTAAGCAATTAAAAAGAATGAGGTGCTGTTCACACTGGGGGGGGGGGGGGGGGGGGGGGCATTTGTCCCTCTTAAGTACTTAAGTTTATGGCTATCAGTTGGACACTTAAAAACAAACTGAGGTATAATTTGTTACTAAGGAAAGGGAAAAGCTAAAATGGAATTTTTCCAATAGTAGAGAAGGCAAAAAACTTGGCTTCCCAATTTCCACACAATTCATGGGGACCTAAATATCCAGGACAAAAGAGATGAAAGAATTTCACAAACTCACAGGTGGAAGTTTAGCAAAGGTTTTAGTTTAAAAAAAAAAACAACTAGGGAGTCACAGGAACCAAAAAAGGCAAATAAAAGTTAACTCCTGCTTAAAATACAGCAGAAACAGAAAAGCCTAACAAATGGTTTTTCTAAGGGGGTTTATATTTCCTGAGCTGGGAAAACACATGTGTTCCTGTGATCTACCAACCGCAACCCTTAATTATTAGACAATGGGCTTAGGATGGGTCTATTACCCAAAACATGGTTGAGTCTTACCATTATAAAATATGGAGACAAGTGGCCGGAGCTAACCCAAAATACCAAACATCAGGTCTTCTTTAATTTTCTGATTCTCTACCTATTCGGAGCTCACAGCTTCTAACATCTAACATAAAGCCGACTACAGATAACCCTTGTATATGTCTCACTATTCTTGTAACTTAAAACTAAAAACCTGGCAGAACTTGCTCAGATTTTTTTTCTCCTGGTTCTTTTTAAATTCCTGCATTTGGCCCTTTTAATATTCATTATCTCTAACTTCCCCGTGGACACCTCTTATCTCTTCTGCTCAACTAACTTCAACGAAACCCACAGCCCTTAAGTTATTTCGTGAACTAAGGGGTGGCTCACTATCGTTGCCCGGGTTAGTCTGCAACTCATGGGCTCATGTGATTCTGGTGCCTCGGCCTTCCACCAAACTTGTAACACTTTTATCACTTTGGAAAATCCCCTCCTAGGCCTTAAGTGTAACTACCAAAGAAGCTGGGCGCCGGTGGCTCATGCCCGTGACTCCAGGCTAGGCGGGAGGCGTGGGATCGGAAGCTCGAAGTTCGAAGCCAGTACGTACGTACGTGTGCGCACACACACACACACACACACACGCACACACACACAGCCTCCAGCAAACTGCCCCCCAGACTTATCTCCAATTAACCAGCAAAAACCCAGAAGTGGAACTGTGGCCCAATAGGTGGCAGAGCACGGGTCTTGAGCGGAAGATCTTAAAGGGAGAGTGTGGCCCGGAGTCCTGGCCGCACAACCGGCCAAAAAAAAAAAAAAAGGAAAAAAAAACCCTAAAACTTTCCACAAAGAAAGATCCGCACACGCGTTCGGTTCAGAGCTCAGTGAAACCTCTCCGTAACGTACGGCCACCTAGTTACCGAGTCTAAGGCCAGAAAAACAATACTGGCGCCTCCCGAGCCCCCTAGCGGCTCCTCCCGGGGACTGCCCTCCCTCCCCGCCAGAGGCTACTTTCATTTTGAATACTCCGACCGCAGGGCAGCGGGCCGGGGACCTCGCTCAAACGGCACGAAACCCACAGGAGCGAGGCTCGGGTCGGGCTTCTCTCCCCGGAGCCGCCGGGTGAGGCGGAGCGCCGGCGGCGGCGGCGGCGGCGGCGGGACGGGCTCGTCGCTTCCGCCCGGACGGGACTTCCGACTCCCCCGCCACCATCATGGCCCGCCAGCCTGCGGCTCCGCGGGCTCGCGAACGCTCATCGCCTCTCGGGGCGGGAGCTCCGAGGCCCGGTGGCGGCCGCCGCGGCCGCTCGCGGGGCTCATGTCGACGCTTCCGGTCGCGCTCGGGGCCGCCCCGACGCCGCCGGAGAGGCAATCCTCTCAACGGCGGGGGTCGCCGGGGACGGCGCGGAGCGGGCGCTGCTCGCAACCGGAAGGCAGAGCCCGGTCCCCAGAACAAGGATTTCGCCACCTTGCCTCCGAGAGTCGACAGGCGCACTTACATCGAATCCAAACCCAGGTGGGGACTGGACTCGCGGGAGGGTCCTAAAGGGGGGGCGCCGGCGCTGGAGACGCGTGCTTCAACAGTTCGCGAACGGCGGGGCCCAAACTTCAGCCGCGGGGAGAGGAGCCGCAGGTCAGCCGCGCTAAGCCGGGTCGCGCTACGGAGCCGCGTCACGTGGCCACGCAGCCCCCCCGCTTCTTACCGCCGCCCGGTGATGACGCCACCACGTCGGCGACGCTCGGCGCGCGACGCCTCCAGCGCGCCAAAAGCCACTGGAAATTAAAAGTGTCTCCTTCAGGAATCCTCCGCCCGTACCATGCTCGTCCCGTCCCGCCTCACTGTAACGAGGCCTCTCCTCCTCTCCCGCCCGCGATTTGTCTTTGTTCTCTGGCTTTTCTGGGGGTTTTTTTTGTCCTCCGCTCGCGGCGGCTGACTAACCTAAGATGGCTGCCCGGCCGGCCTGGTGTCGGAGAAGACGGAAACAGCCCACTCCCTAACCACTCCCCATTCCGACCCCGCAGAGCTGCACGTTATTTCCGGGGCTGGGTTACAGGAGCAGCTCCGCGCCGCGGCTGCGCAGCAGGGCAAACGCGGTCAAAGGACGATACGCACAGTTAGTGGGGCGGGCAGGAAGCGGCCTCAGTCTTCTCGAACTGCTGGCTCGCTCGCGAGAGTTGAGCGTTGCTAGGAGGTTCGGCGAGAGGGCGGGGCCGCGCCGGGGGCGGGGCCGGGGGCGGGGCCGAGGCGGGCGGGAGGGCGGCGGCGGCGGCGGCCTCGCGAAGGTTCTAGAGGCGCCGCGTGCGCAGGGCGGGCCGCGGGCTCGCGCACGGCCGGGCGTACGCGAGGCGCGCGGGCGCTGCGTCTGGCGGCGGTCGGGGGGGTCTCCGCTCGCGGTGGTCGCGCGCTGGGCGGCGTTTTCCCGTTCGATCCGGTGCACGGCCGCAGGGTTCGCCTTCGGCCTGACCCGCCCGGACCATGGCTTCGGCTTTGGAGGAGGTAAGGGGTCCGGCGCGCCTCAGCCCCGCCGCTTCCCGCGCGGCTCGGGTCCCCCTTCGGCCTTCCACGCCGTCCACCTGCCGCGGCCGCGGGGGCCGCGACGCGGGCGCCTCCGGCGGGGGCTCGGCGGGCGCCGGCCGCCGCCACGTTCTCCCGGGCCCTTCCCGCTCTCCCCTGCCGCCGGGGGGCCCGGCAGCCTCGCGGAAAACCGGGGCCTCACCTGGTGGGGGAGCCGCTGCCCCGTGTGGGGCTGTGTTGCCCCGGGCAGGTGAATTTGCCTCTCTGGGCGGTTAGTCGCCATTTCCTGAGACCGTTGACCGGAGACCCCGTTGGAGCGGTGCTCGGGGGACGCAGCCGGCCCCGGGCGTTCCTTCACCCTTTGGTTCCCCTGGCTCTGCGGCCCTGGGATGGAACCCGGGGCCCCGCGGGCCGGCATCGCGCCCCGCCGCCCAGCCTCACCTCCAGCACACGCGCTTTTCTCCCCTTTTCAGTAGCCGGAAAGTTAGTTACAATCAAGGGCAGGAAATGGACGGACGCTGTTATTTTTTATTCAGCCAGGAAATAAATGAACTTTCTCTTGGAGACTTCGTTTGCTTCTTTACAAAATGGAACTTATAACTTGGGTTGCTCTCTTTCGGGCCTGTGTACGATTGTACCCAGTGACCTGCCGGATGTCTAGGGAGTTTTAAAAAAAGACTGCTTTAAATGCAGAAGAATGAATAATGGATGTCACCAGGCTACGTTTCCAGAGGCGAAGATGGCTTGCAGCCGTACGTATGAGTCGTTTAGAGTGGGTCCTTTTAAAGTCACGGACTTTTAAAAAAGACTCACATCCAGAGACACTTGGTTTTCGGCGATAGGACTCAGCGTCTCACTTCAGTGGTTCTCGGTGTATTTGGTGGTGTGGGTCTACCACCAAGTTCCACCATGTGTTCATCCCAGAAAGAAATCCAGGGTCCTTGACACAGTCACGCTTCCATTCACTCCAGCCCCTCCTGGCAATCCCAAATTTGTCTACTTTGTCTCTGAATTTGCTATTCCACGTGTTTCGTGGAAGTAAATTATGCGATATGGGGCCTTTTTATGAAACAGACAAACCCTCTTAATGGAGTGCTATGTATCAGCATATTCTTTATAGTTAAATAATATTCCATCATAGGAATACAGAACATTTTGTTTTTCTATTCATTAGCTGATGCACATTCGTTTGCCTGTTTTTGCATATTACAAATACTAGTGTGAATACTTGTGTACACAGGTTTTTGGGGTTTTTTTTGGAGGGGACACAGTTTCAGTTCCTTGGGATATTCCTAAGAGTAGAATTGCTGGGTCATATGGTAAGTGCTAATGGTTCCTAAACTCATTTCTGACATCCCTTCCTTCCCCCCCCCCCAAAAAAAAAAAATTTATGAAGAGTCTGCTTTCTCCACGTGCTCATCATTGTTACTTCCTGTGCTTTGGGGGTTTCGACTATGATCCTATCGGAGTGGATATGAAGTCCACTACTGTGCATCTGTTGTGTTTCCCTATGTGACTAAAGATGTTGATCATCTGTTCATGTGCTTGTGTCTCCTGAAAAGTTTCTTCAGGTCTTCTGCTCATTTTGAGGCAGTTTGTTTTCAAGGGCCCCTGTGAATAAGCAGGAAATGCCAAAGGGATAAAAGGGAGATGCATTGTTTACATGCAGAAAACAAATGCATGCCAAGAAGGCAAGGAAAATTACAGGAAGAAGTAGATGTTAAAAGGCCACTCTAGGTCAAGTTTGTCTGCAGAAACTGCAGCAAAGGGATCAAATCTTTGCTTGGTTTCAGATCTGCAAACAGCTAAGGAATTGTTCTGCTGTAAGTTGGTTCAGTAGATAACTTGCCAGCGTTCTTTAAAGCCAAAACTAACAGTAAAGAGGTGCTGGGAATGAGTGCCTAGAAAAAAAGATTCCTACTCCAGTCAAAAAGCACAACTACTTATTTAGGTTTGGTACAATTCTGTTTGTATTGTTAAGTAAATCCATACTCTGGAAACAAAGTCATTTGGCACTTTAATATTTGTAATGTGTTAATATTAGCATCAACAATTACTTATAATGAAAACATCTTGGTTTTCTGCTCAAAAGGTAAGTGTCAAAGTTTTTGTAGGGTAGTACTATGAGTTTTTCTTGGGAGCCCATATACAGAAGCTGGGCTTTAATTCCATATTATCTGTTACAAGTGGGTGAAATGAAGGCATCTTTGGTAAATGAATAGGTCATTAAGAAATGTTGAAGACTCAAATTCCCTTTATACTTAGTAATCTAACATTTGACTTATACTTAGTAATCTAACATTGACTTGATGTAAAACTAGTTCTCCAGCCAAATTACCTAGTGTTAAGCCAGAGTGAATTATTTGGGAAGATTCTATTCATTTTATTCATTTATTGTAGTCATATCAGGACAATTGGGGAAATTATTTAAGCCCATTAATTTTCTAGCCGTGTCTCTATAGAACTTCATTAAAACGTTGATTCAATCTCCAGAAAGTAGAAGACAACATATAGGTGATATTTTGCCATGAGACGTAGGCTTTTGTAGCATAATATCAGTTTCCAAGTGTGTGTTTGTGTTGAATTATGTGGCCAGGCACTTAATGTAAGCAAGTCCTAGAGTCCTGACTGTTGAGACTGACCAATGTCTGGACAATATTTTTTTGGGGGGGGAGTCCGGTCGTGGGGCCTGAACTCTGGGCCTGGGCGCTGTCCCTCAGCTCTTCAGCTCAAGGCTAGCTCTCTACCACTTGAGCCACAGCGCCACTTGCAGCTTTTTTCTTTTTGCTTATGTGGTGCTGAGGAATTGAACCCAGGGCCTCAGGCATGCAAGGCAAGCGTTCTACCACTGAGCTACCTTCCCAGCCCTGAACAAGATTTTTGTTGTTGCTTTGTTTTGGGTAGTATGGGGGTTTGAAGTCAGGGCCTTCCACTTGTAGCCATTCTACCACTTGAGCCACTACATCCCCAACTTGAGACTTTTTTCTTAAGAGCAGATTTTTATTATTACTATTATTATTAAATTTAAGCTTTTTTATGTAGTATATTTGGTATATAGTGAATGAAGGTGAATGAGGACTGGCCACTGAAAGCAAGCATTCATTCCTCATTAATTTATTTTTTTTTAATGATTTTGTTGTCATTATAAAGGTGATATACAGAGAGGGCTTACAGTTAAAACAAAATGTTCTGAAACAAAGAAGAAACTGGAAGATATAGGCTTGTCACTTCATGATTAGTTTTCCTTTTAAAAACAAAACAAAACTTGAGTTACTTAAAATCCAACAGACTAATTAGATTTGCAACTCAATCCTAGAAAATTACATGAACTTATTAATTTTTAATTTATCCTAATGTATGCACTTTTTTAACACAGCTGCAGAAAGACCTAGAAGAAGTAAAGTCATTACTGGAAAAATCCACTAGGAAAAGAGTACGTGATGCCCTTACAACTGAAAAATCTAAGATTGAGACAGAAATAAAGAACAAGATGCAACAGAAGTCACCGAAGAAACCACAAGTCGACAATGAAAAGCCAGCTGCTGTGGTTGCACCCATTACGACTGGATATACGGTGAAAATCAGTAATTACGGTATGACTTGCTTCCCTACATCTAATTCTTATCTTCAAAGCACAGATTACCCCCCCCCCCATGTTGTATGCTTTTATGTGAAGTTAATGTACTTCACATATCAAGAGAATCATGTAGGCTACAGACTATTATAGTTTGAGAGTACATCCAGTTCTGTAAAGCAGAAATAGCTCTTCCCCCAAGGTACAACTCTTGATGTATGCTTTCTGATGTAAAACTTTAGCATTTTCCATATTGAGAGAACTTGTTATAGGCTAGAGACTTAGAATTTGCCAGTATATGTGGAAATTACATTCATTAGATGTTGGTAGGTTAGTCCACGGGTTTTAATGAAAAGTTGTTTTCATTTGTTTTGCTTTAAGCTACCTTAGTTCCCTGAGTATCCGTGAGTACAGGTATGTACCGCCATGCCCAGCTTAATTATTAGAATCTTTAGCCAGAGTAGTGCTTCATCTATAGTCCCAACACTGGGAGGATGAAGGAAGAAGATCACAAGTTTGCAGCCAGTGGGGCTCATAGAAGAGAACCTGCCTTTAAAACAAACAAAAAAGAAACATTAAAAGAGGGCTGGTAGTGTATGTAGTTCAGTGGTAGATTACTTGCCTAGCATGTAAATGGTCTTGGTTCTCTTCCCAGTATGCAAAAATAAAACAAGTAACTCTAATACTTTTATCCTGAGAAAAAGAGCAAGGGCCTTCTGTTCAGAAATGTGAAATTGAATCTTAAGTTCTACTTTTTGTTAGGTCAGATGCCTCATTTTGGGTATAGTACTTAAGTGTTTTGAGATTCAGATTCTCTAGGAAATTTGTTTTAACATTTCTGTTTTTCATATTTTACTGTTTTTATTATTTTTGTTTTACTTGTTTTTGTCTTTTTGGGTACTGGGGTATGTTACATTTGCTAAGCTTTGTCACTGAGCTACATCCCAGCCTAAATTTGCTGTTTTTAGAAAATGTCCAAGTCTTATTTCATGTCCTACCTTTGCTGTTGTTTCTAGGATGGGATCAGTCAGATAAGTTTGTGAAAATTTACATCACCTTAACTGGAGTTCATCAGGTTCCCACTGAGAATGTGCAGGTGCATTTCACAGATAGGTGAGTTCTTACCATCAGATTACCTTATTCTAGGGGCCCTTCTATGTAGTTTCTCAAATTTCTGCTTAAATTTAGAATTAATTTTGCTGTATACATTCTTTGAAAAGGTGTCAAAATAATCTGGATAGCCAGATAAAACATGCAAAAATGGATCTAGTGGCTTTTCTCCAGAACTAGTGTCTTTCATAAAACCTGACAGATAATATATTCACTTTTGTGTTGTAGGGCCTTTGATCTTTTGGTAAAGAATCTAAACGGGAAGAGTTACTCCATGATTGTGAACAACCTCTTGAAGCCCATCTCTGTAGAAGGCAGTTCAAGAAAAGTGAGTGTTCACTTTTTAAAATAATTTTTTGGGTCATAATATTTTGAAATCTCATTAAATTGAACCTGGCTGAATTGAGATGAACTAGAATTTCTTCAGTATATCAGGAATCAGAAACTGCAGCCTGTTTTATAAACAATGTTACTGGCAGAAAACCGTTCTTATGTATTCTGTTGTGTTTGGCTGCTTTCACATTGAAATGGAAAAGCTTAGAAGCTGCAAACAGGTCATTATAGCCCGAGGATCCTAGAATATTTATACTTAATCTTTACGAAGAGTTTGCCAATGCACCTGAATGATAACAGGTTATAAGAATAGTTCAGCTTCATCAACTCTGATTCTGTTTTCACATTTGTATGATTGTATTTATTTCATATACTGGAATGACATGCTGAAATAGAGTATATGCACTGTGAAATACTTAAATTGTAGGTATTACTGGGTACACTATGTACTGGTTTTTATTTTCTGCCAGTACTGGGGTTTGAATTCAAGGTGTTTGGCATTTTTACTCATAGCTGGTACTCTACAACTTTAAGCTTTTGTATCTGGCTTTTTGCTGGCTAATTGGAAATAAAGAGTCAGGCAGATTTGAATGTCTGAGCTGGTTCTGAACCTCTCAGGTCAGTAGCTAAGATTATAGGTGTGAGCCACCAATGCCCTGTTCTCTGTGTACATTTTTGATAGATAAAGGAGATCTTAAAGTGCTTAGTTTAGTTGTAGAAGGTATACAAACAGTCCAACTTTCATGATTCATGCTGTTCACTAATTTAGTCAATCCTTTCTATTCAGTTTGAATGAATGCAGTTTAGTGAGTCAGTATATAGTTATGCTATACTGCTATTACGTAACAAATCATATTAAAATTTATTTTGATTTGCTTGCCTCTCATTGCAAGTCTTACCTACAGTTCCATATTTGAAGAAGTACTCTAACTCCTAGAAATGTATGTTCCTTTCTTGCCTTCCAGACACTTCACCCTGTATTATCTTTTCCTAAATTAACTGAACCTCAGTCCTCCTTTTCTTCAAACATGCCAAAATTTTTGCCTCTTGGAACCACTCCACCTGCTTATAGTTTGTTCTAGAATGTCCTCCTCCTGGATCTTGTTTGTTTGTATTTCGTCTCTGAGAAGCCTTCCTAATGAAGTTTTTTCTACCAACCACAACTCTTACCCACTTCCTCTTAATAGTATTTATTAGTGATGAAAGGTATTATTCGGGTTTTGAAGTCTTCCCCTTTGATGATTTTCAGATTCTGCTTTAATTTTTTAAAAGTACTACTAGTGCTTAGAGTAAGGCTTACACACATTAGGAGCTTGATTAATTTATAGTTACTATTTTCTAAATGTTGATGCCTAATCTCCGTGTGGTGTTCTCCACATCCAGGTCAAAACGGATACAGTTCTTATTTTATGCAAAAAGAAAGCAGAAAATGTACGATGGGATTACTTGACTCAAGTTGAAAAGGAGTGCAAAGAGAAGGAGTGAGTTTACTTTCATTTGTTTAAAGGTCTTTAATTTTTGGCTGAGGTTATAGTTTCACTTTATGGATAACAAGAGCTGCCCAGTCTGATTTGACCGTCTGCCTCTTGATGTCCACTAGTCTCATTGACTTATATATCCGCTTTTAACTTTCTTTGTCCTTTTCCCCTCCAGTACTGGAGTTTAAACTAGGGCCTGGTACTTAGCTAGGCAGATAGTCTATCTACTGAACCATAACTTCTTTACACTATTTATTACTGAGAAAGGGTCTCCCTGAGTCTGCCTGCACTACAATCCTATTTTTCACTGTAATCATAGCGAGATGACAGATGTGTATCATTATACTCAGCTTTTTCCATTGAGATGGCATCTGACTTTTTTGCCTGGGCCAGCCTGGAAAACTGAGCCTCTCAATCTCAGCCTCCCAAGTACCTAGGATTATAGACTTGAATCACGGGTGCCAACCAGCAAGTTGATTTTTAAAATACATGGAATCTGCTCTTGAGTACTGGTTTCTCATACCTGGATACACTGATGCTTCTAGATACTTGGCCTTTTTTTTTTTTTTTTTTTAAATAGTGTACTTTGCCCATCCTTAATAATTTGTTTTAGGAGTTCCTGAAAGGTTCTTGTATCCATGTGTGTTTTTCTTTTATTTAAGATTCCTTAGATATGAGACTTTTTTTTTTTTTTTAAAGACAGTAAAACAAGGTATCTAACTCAGGCTGGGATTCGAACTTGAGAATTTTGCCTGTCACTTGAATAGTGGGATTACAGGTATTTAAAAAAACCTGGCTGTTTATTTTCCTTAACATGTTTAATATTCAGATACTTCTATATCAGTTTTGCTTTTTCTCCTGCTAGTTGGTGGTATACTGCATTGAGGAATGTAGCTATTCATACTTATGATTTCCCTTGGGAAGTGGTTGGCTAGAGTTAGGCTTTTAAAATTTAAAATCTAGACAGATGTACCTGAGTCTAGGACCCTGTGTTACTATATTTCCAGTATATAATCTAGCAATTGATGGGTTAAATGAGTACTAATTAAATAAAAAGCTAGCAGGGTATGGTAGCATGGGCCCGAATTACACCACTGGGGGCAGAAGAATTGTGTTAGAAGCCAGCCTGGGCTATATAATGAAGACCTGTTTCAAGAAAGGAATGTAAAGGTAATTGGCTATTTGGCTATTTATTCAACTAAAATTCAATGAATTTATTAGCCAGTGTTTGAAAACTTTGAAAATATATACTATTAAAAATTGTCAGAAAAGTAATTTACCGTCTAACATTTTGGTGACCACTCTTTTCCTGTACTGTGTTATGACAGGAATGTATTTTCATTAAGCTAAATTTGTGTGCTAATTGTGAATTGCTTGTATACTCTGGCTCTCTCTTGTCCCTTAACCCTTGTTAGTTAGCTTGAAATTGTATCTTTCCATGCTTTGGTTTCTCCATTGTAGTGTTTTCTCTTTAACAGAAAGCCTTCTTATGACACTGAAGCAGATCCTAGTGAGGGATTAATGAACGTGCTAAAGAAAATTTATGAAGATGGAGATGATGATATGAAACGCACCATTAATAAAGCCTGGGTGGAATCAAGAGAGAAGCAAGCCAAAGGAGACCCAGAATTTTGAGACTTTTAAGTCCTTTTGGGACTGATGTGGAAATACTGGTGTTTCCAATAATGGAATGTTGGCATATACAGATTGGGCAGATGGTATTTACACAGCCTTCTAAGTAAAGGCAGTGAATTCTCCATTTCTTACTGGAGGATTTATTTAAATAAAATGTGCTTATTAAACACTTCCTCCAAAGATGCTTTCATTAGTATCCTGGTTATTTTTTTAAGAAGGGGTTGGGTATATGGCAGTCTCATTTAAATAAATTTTGCCTAAGGAATATGCTACATTACATGTATTTTTGTTTAGCTAGGAAGTGGAAAACAGTAGTTGCATGCCGGTGAGTTACTGACACCACTTCCCACTAATGTAAGAATAAGATTAAAATCAAAAGTTTGCATAAAATTCAAATGTGTTTGAAAGTTGTTATAGAACATTCCATTCCATGTTAAAGCAATGTGTGTATTATAAACTACAGTGTACTAAGTAATCAATTATAGAATTGAAACAATAGAAACTTTACAAGAAATGCCAAGTATCTTTGTATGTTACAATATATAACAATACTAAAACACATAATGCCTTTATAGTTATAGTGCTAGCACATAAACCAGTGGAACAGAAGAGAGTACATATTGGAAGATTTAGAATGCAGTTAAGAGCCACACTTTTTAAAACTGGAAAAGATGGTATTTAAATGATAAGCCAAGGATACATTCAAAACATCAAAGATCTAAAACTAATACAAGTACTAGAAGAAATGAGAGGAATTCCACTGCAACCAACAACTACTTTTGAATTCAAACCTGGAAGGAATATTTATATTGCAAGAAAAAATGTAACAACTAAAAACTGAGAATTCCAAAAAGTTGGGATTCCAAAGATTATGAATAGTTCACTTAAAAAAGACATGTATGTGATCTTTAACATAAAAGGATGTTCATGTTGTTGAGAAAATAGTAAAAAAAAAAAACCACACTGTTCTTTGGCAAGACTCCAGGAGTTTCAGATACTGAACGTAGTTTTGAAGCTGTGGGGAAAGGAGGGACACGTACGTGGCAACAGAATAAAAAGTTTAAAGATGGAAAAGTTATTTGGTAATGTCCATAATTACATGTTTGCTTACCCTGACTCAAAATTCTAGGAACTATGCAAAAGATGAACTATGCAGGTTAGAAATAGCCACATAACTATTTTGGAGGACTAACTGAATATAGTTTGGTATTCACAAACCAAGATTTTTTTTAATATGCTAAGAAAGTGAAATGAACAAGTACAAGTACAATGATGTACATACTAACAAAGCCTTAGAAATAGGAATACATATATTTCAGATGTGAGCCAGAAATTACCTGTAATTACTATAGTACTTGAAGCTGAGGCAGGAAGATTGAGAGTTCAAGACCAGCCTGAGCTACATACCAAAAAAAGTAACTGCTTGAGCTATGCCTCCACTTGCAGCTTTTTTGCTGAAAAACCATAGCAATTTTAAGTTTCAAACAAATTCAACTCATCTTGGTTTTTCTATTGACAAAGTGTCTTGGACTAGGTACCTTACAAGTAGAAACATTTCTCACAATTCTGGAGGCCAGAAGTCCAAGCACATTTAATAAACGGCTTGCTTTCTAAGATGGTGCTCTTTTTGAAGTATCCTGCATATGGCAGAAGGGCACAAAAGGGATGAACACCCCACCAAGCCATTTATGAAGGTCAGGTCTTGACCTAACAAATGAACAGTCCGAGTTGTAGTGCACTGATGGAGGATTGAAATACAACATGAATTTTGGAGTGGCACAAATACTTAAAACCGCAGTATATGTACCAAGCAAGCATTAAAACAGACTAGGGAACTCTAAAACAGAGTATATGGCTATTGCTAATGAGATAAATTCTAAAAACCACAAAAATGCAGTCACTAGTGTTAGCAAAATTTGAAGAAACACTTTTATGGTAAGACTATTTGGTATCATTAGAGGTTAAGAATCCCCACCTCTCCCATTTGTGGGGCTTTGGCACTGCCCCTGAACTCTTGTACAAGGCTAGCGCTCTACCACTTTGTGCCCCAGCTCCATTTCCAAGGATTAAGATTTTTATGTAAAGGGCAGGCAAATATAAAAAGCATTTTCTAGCAAGGTAATTACAATATATATCTTCTGCAATTATATATTGTTATTCCTAAATGTCCAATTTCCTATATTTTCTATCTTGGAGTGGTCCTCTACCATCTACCTCTTAAATTACTAGTCAAAAGTCTTGTCTATTTTCCTAAATTAACACTTTCAAACTTTGCCCTCTCTTCTTAAAGCCTTACTTCTAAATGGGGTTCTGGTGGCTCAATGAGCCTGTAATCCTAGTTACTCAGAAAACTGGTGTCTGGAGAACCATGATTTGAGGGTAGGCTCATGAGGCAGGTAAGTTTGCTAGACTTCATATCCAAAATAAAAAGCCAGGCCGAAGCCATGGCTCAAGTGTTAGATCATCAGCCTGAGTTTAAATCCTGGTTGCCACTACCACCAAAAAGAAAGCCACCCTCCTAACTGGCTATCTTGCCAGTCATCTTCGTTTCATGTCATAAACTACACGGTTATCACTTATCTGTAGGAGTGGTGATGTCATTCCTTAAAACTACAATATACTTGTAAGTCTTAATTCCTTCACATCACTTTAAATCCTCCATGAAGTGGCCTTTCTTGCCTAGTGCTTATTTCTAATTGAAGTAACTGATTTCATCATCAGATGAATCATGACTTTGTTTCTTTGTACTTTTGTTCCCAATTTCTTCATCCCATCTTTTGATTCAGGTTAAGGTACCATACTCCAGGAATATTTTCCTGATGTTGGTAAGTATGTTCATCTATACTACTACATATTTTCCATTAATTGGCTGATCACACTGTTGAAAAGTACGATAGTGACCTTGTATTCTTACTCATTAGTTATAAACAAAGCAAATACTATTTCAACAAAACAACTAGTAGGGTTTGAACTCAGCTGAAAATGGAGTCATCCCTGTTTAATGCTGGTCATTTTGCATATAAAGTCTCAAACTTTTCTGCCCAAGACAGGTACAGTGTTATATGCTTGTAATGCCCAATAACAAGCAGGATTGCAGCCCAAGTATAAAATGAGATAATTACTTCACAACAAAATATTACTCGACACAAAAAGGGCCTGGTGGTATAGTCAAGTGGTACAGCACCAGTCTAGAAAGTGCAGAGTCCTAAGTTCAATACCCAGTAACCTCCACCATCCCCCGCAAAATCCCCAAGAAAACCAAAAGCACTTTTACTGTGTGAAAAGATTATCAGACACTGAAGAGGCACATCTTGCATTGAAGGCCCTTAAAGATAGAGAAATGGTGGTTCTTTTGTTCAGCTATTACACTAAGAAGCAGAGCATTAGATAAACTACCTGTCTGTCACTGTCTAAGCCAGTCCAAGATTACACATTGCTATAGATAGGGTATCTATACAAAAGCACTGTTCTATTAAATAATACTGATTAAAAATGCAGAACCCTTATAAGCTACTAAAAGGTAACACTTGAAAGAAAAGTACAGTAAACAAAAGTTTCACAGAAAGTATTTTTATTCTATTCTTTGCACTACATATGAGAACAATGTGGAATCAATAGTACATAAAGTCAAAGAGAAAGGACAATTCATTGGCAGAATGAAAGACCCAAGTTTCTTCTTTTAAAACTTAAAAATAACTATAGACAGTATCAAAATAGACAACTATACTGGACCCCTAACAAAAAAAAAAACTACTAGAGTTTTGTCTATTAGAAAAGTCTCTTCTTGCCAGTACTAGCTCGCTTGAAAGCTCAGTAGATTGTGAAGCTGATTACCATATTGCTCGCTGGACCCCAGAAAGCTGCCCATGGTCGGCTAAGTGACGGAAGACAACGCGACTAAGCCTCCAGCGCCGCTTTACACCACGAGGTCGGGACGTCATAACACATCGATTTCTGATTCTTACAGGGCAGCTATCTCGAGGAAGGGCAGCGATTTCTTGATCAGCAACTTCCTAAGGGAAACCCCAATATTACAAGTCACATTTATTTATTTATTCAAGGTGTTTAAGTCAATACTTAAAGGAGGAAAGAGCTAGATTCATTAATATACCATTAAATTGCAATATGCATTTTAAAAATAGAATTAATATGCAATATATAATTACATCAGTAAACTTTAAGGAACAGACTAGAAAAGCTACCAGAAATGTTTGATATCCTAATATGACATTAAATGCTTGACAAGCGTGTCAAATGCAGGAGTTCCATGTCACCACTTACATTCAAGGACTTTACCCTTCAGCAAACCAAATGGGGTTTGTACCCCATTATTCAAGTAAACACAAGAAAAGGAGTCTATGAGGAACACACATGGGTAAGGGAGTTCAAGGACTAAGGGAAGACAGGTTAGGCCAATGGCCCCACAAATTAGCAACGTCTTCCAATGCCTCGAGAGCTGCATGACTGGAATGAAGTTGAGAAAACTTGGGTCAAAATAACTTCCAATTTCAGTGTGGTCACCATTCACCAGTACTTTCTAGGGACTATTAAAATGGCTGAATGGCTAGTGAGATGTGATACAGTTATCTTTAATCCTAAACTCACCAATGTCAATTTCATGGACTTATGCTGACTTGGAGTATTTGACCCTATTCTCCAAAAATTATATTCATGCTAAGTCAACATAACAATATCAATAGTGATCCGTGCTAGCGACTTCATATTAGGGACTTGATTTGCAAACCTGCAGATCTTTTGGTAAGATGGTATTCTTTCTGAGTGAGTTGATCCGAAGCCTCTCATCTGCATATTCATAGGCCATTTTCCGTCTTTTTACATCCCGAAACATTTTCCAGTCTACGTAGTAGCCTCGAAATTGTCCTGAAACTGATGAAGGAGCCACCTAAGAAATAGAGACAAGAATTATGAAGGTTAAGGATCGCCAGGCCCAGGCTCTGGTTTATAACCTAGTAACTTAAAAACTTTTAAATCTACTAACTCAAATAACTCTCCATTATGGCACATATCTGAAATTCTACCATTTGGGAGACTGAGGCAGGAAGGCCTCGAGTTTAAGACCAGCGTGGGTAAGTACCAAAAACCAGCAAATAAAAACACCCAAAACAACGGACTTCCCAATTCAAAATAAAGAACTTTTACCTGTTAGAGTGGTATTAATAACAT